TGTAGCACAAAATATTACTTTTATTAATATTGTATTTAATTTAATGATAAACATTGCATAATACTATAGTATTTTTTACTTTTTATTTTATTTTATTTGATCTTAATTTATTATTATCATATGTTTTTACTCAAATAAATTAAAGTCAATGAACTTCATCATACCTTCTATTCCTTAAAGCTGCAGTCCCTCGTTTTTTTTGTGTTCAAAATGAACCAAAATTGATGTAATAAGCGAGTACACCATTGATCCATTTTCCAAACTGAGTTTTTGGCTCATCCAGAATCCCTACGGTACACATATAATAAGTGTTTATATTCGGACTATTTTATATTGGTTTGGGTAGGTGCCGCTGCGGAGGAGCCCAGTTCCTGCGTGATTCGTCATAGACATAAACTTAGAGAAGTAGCCCTGGCTACAATGCTCTTCTGCAAGACGCAGGCAGTTCTGCGTCTTGTTAACCGCTAGAGCGCCAAAAGCTACGGACTGCAGCTTTAATAATAACTAATAGACATATTCCAATGAATACAAAGGTCTGATCGAGGAACGTTTGGTTTTTATATATGTGTCTCTCAAACAGCTTGTCTTCTAAACCTGCTGAGGTTGAGCAGGACTGGTTTCCAGTGGTTCAGTTCTCACCAGTGCGCTGGGGCCCCTGGGATCCCGCTGCCAGGAGCCGGAACCAGCACGGCGTTCCTCTCCTCCGTCAGACCCACCCACTGCTCCACCAGCCTGGCCTCCCGCTCCACGTCCTCCTCGCACTTCTCTGGAAACCACAGCGCATTACATCACAGCAGCAGCTCCAGCAGCTCAGCACGATGAACACATGCTTCAAACTCCAACCTGGCTTGTTGATGATCCTCTTGATCTGCTCCTCCAGATACTCCCTGCGCTTGATGAGAGCGTCAGACCAGCGCTCACGCACGCAGTTCAGATCCTCCTCCTGCAGAACAACATGCAGACCTCAGATACGATGCTGCTCGTTTAAGCGGCTCGTTTGAGACAGAAAATACATCAAAAACTTTAAAGCGCGTGGAAAAGAATCTGAAGATCCCATCTGAAGTGATCAATCCACATACAGCACCTCCATCTCACACTGTGTCTACAATAAACACCAAAGGTCAGCACCAAATTACAAATAACATTTGTGACCCTG